TCTGTGTGACTCTGTGTGACTCTGTGTGACTCTGTGTGACTCTGTGTGACTCTGTGTGACTCTGTGTGACTCTGTGTGACTCTGTGTGACTCTGTGTGACTCTGTGTGACTCTGTGATGTCAATGCTGGTCTGATGACTAGCTGCCAAGGGTAACCTTTTTGCTGTTTCCCACATACCAGTCCTCTCATTCATGGGTAAGCTGGTTCAAGGAACTGAGCCAGGAGAATAGTAATGCTACAGAAACGAATACGTTCTTTTGCGGTTTGATGCCACTAAACTGGCTCTCACGGAATCGGATGAGTTGCAGTGCTGGTAAAAATACAGAGTGAGAGGAGAGGACCTTAGATACGCAGATTGAGGAGATAGTTCACCGAATCCAACCCTTTCAGGTCTGTTATTAAGATTCTAGTGATGCATTTGTGTTTATGGAGTACGTGGGATCCCATCTATCTGTGGGAGCATAACTGATGGGCTCCTCATAGGCTTCATCGGAAAAGAACAGGCACTAGTGGGCTTCTAATTTTTGTTGTTTTGCCCTGCATCAAAAATGAAGTAAATGTTTCATGAAAACTTTCTGCTCAACAGATACCTTCTCCATCAGATGTGGCTGGCAGCTTCCCATCAGCAATGCAGTATCTTTATTCCGGGAACTGAAACGGGGAAATGGAGACTCAACCCAAATATCGTATTTGTTTTCTTCTCCAGTCATACCCCATGTGAGTATGCTGAAGTGAACCAATTTCGGGGCTCCCACTTGTTGAATCTTTTCTGCCCCTTGCCTTTCTGTGGTCTCGAGTGAGAGTGAGGGAGTAACTCGTGTTAGTAGTGTGTGCCCTGAGATGTACTTGGCTGGTCCTCCACGGATACATTTGGCATTTTATCTCACTGGATGTGTCACGAGAACTCAGTAAATCCAATACACTGCTTGTTATGTAGTGGAATGGTTCACTTCCTCTTTAAACAATAACGGCTATTATTTTCTTTTCCAGAAACTAACATACTTGTCAGAGGTTCTGTCGTATTTCCTGATTGCTTTGCTTTAAGCCTTGTCTGCTTGGATTCAAATTTTAATAAAAAACATTGACATTTACCACAGTTCCTATAAAACAAAACCAAATAAATCACCACCAGCAAAGCACAACCCAACAAAATACCCCCCAAAACAAAAAAACCCCACCCCACAACCACACAAAAAACCCCAAACCACCAAACAAACAAAACCAAAGAACAAACCAAACAAAAAACCAAAACACTAAAACAGGACAGGAAAAAAACCATACAGAAAAACAACAAGCCAAAACAAAATCCCCCCCCAACCCAAAACTTCTTACAGAATGGAGTGCAACTTTTTGTTTTGTCACGGAAAACGCTCTTTGTGTGTTTTAAGAAACCAGCACCACAAAGATGAAGATCGATTGGCAGAATGTAGGAAGGCAACCTCTTGGTCAAAGAGTGCTTATCGGACGTCCCAATGTTAGCACACTCTTATCGGTCTGTTCTTCAACCGCTTATCTGTTACCAGAGCAAAGTAGTCTGTGCACTCTCAAAATATGCCTCGTCAGTACTTCGCATAGTGAATTAGTTGTTCATACATTTTCATGATTTTGATGGCATTGCTGAAATAGGCTATGATGGTTTTCTTTGTTAATGCAATATGAGAATAGAATCTACATCTTCAAATTTAATAGCAAGAATAATTTCCTGGCTGCCTTGTTCTTGCATTCCCATCAGGCTTTGTTTGCTTTGAACTGATCTTCAGAATTTTGGTTTTGAGCTTGTTTTGGTGACAGATGGAAATTTCCATCCTTATTTGATAGGTTATCCTTTATTCTTTTGAGGTTTGTATCGTTTAGTTAGATGAGGCTAGTTTTCTTGTCAGTCTTCAGCATTGCTTTTCTGTGAAATGCCTTTGACACCTTTTGCGCTGTAATTTTTGTTTTAGATTTTGGGTTTTTTGGTTATTTTCTAAGTAGAATGCAAAACTTGGAAATTAAACATACGTTGGCTTAAATTTCAGCGAAGCTGGAGTACATCATAGTACAGGGTAATGTTGTTTGAACATTTCTTTTTCTTGTAGTTAATCTTTCCTGACTACAAATCTGTGAAAGCTAGTGGTAGCCAGAATGTTACTGGGGTGACGTGTTCCAGTCATGAGAGATGCTGTTTTGGCCAATTTTGGTGCTACTTCTTTTGTTTTAGGTGGAGATGCTTCTATTATTCCAATTAGTGAACCAGAGAACCAGCTTTCTAAGCCAGCAACTGGAGATAATGCAGCTGGACAATCAGCAGAGTGTAGCGGTAACTACGATCATTTGGGTCCAGAGGAGAAAAGGAAATCAGAGAAGAGGGCAAGTAATCATATAATTAAGAGAATGAAAACTGATGATGGTGGTTATTTTTCCATAATCACTGAAGATCTGGCTGTTCAGCAAGTATGTGTGAAACAAGATGAGGACACAGATCCAAAGAGCTGTGAATGTTCTGCCGAGATGCAAACAGTTAACGAGGAGACTGGCTTAGGGAGACCAAAGGTAGTAGATGTTTATAGAACTGGAGCAAAATGCGTACCTGGAGAGCTGGGTGATGCCGGAATGCCTGGGCTAGGGTATCACCGTGTGGGATTATTACGAGTGAAGCCGGGTCGTGGGGACAGAACATGCTCGATGTCCTGCAGTGATAAACTGGCTCGCTGGAATGTGTTAGGGTGTCAAGGAGCTCTTTTGATGCATTTCCTGCAGTATCCAGTGTATCTCTCAGCAGTTGTAGTGGGGAAGTGTCCATACAGCCAAGAAGCTATGCGGAGAGCAGTTATTGAAAGGTAAGTGCTCTTTGGAAATGTCAGATGGCGTGTGTGGAGACAATGGAAGACAACATGTGTCGCACAATTATCAGAACTTTGCACCAAAGTCATTTGCAGAAAATGTGAATTTCTGTAAATTCACACTTTCAGAAAGTAGCCCTGTGTAGTGTAGAGAGAAGGTGACTACTGATGATGCTGCGAAATGAGGGGTGTTTGCTGTGCATTGGCTTTCTGGCTCCTCATATTCTTGAATTGATGAAACCTATCCTAGCGACAAAAGGATAGGAAGTGGATTGTTTTCTTGCTTAGGAGGTTGAATCGGTGCAACGAAGGAATCTGCAGGCATTAGGGGAGAGTAAATGGCACTGGGCAGAGTGGAGGGGAGAGCAAGGAAGAAACCTGGGAGCTGAACCACTCTCTTTAAGAGGCAGTTACTAGATCAGTTCATCTGAAGGGTTTGACTGTTTAGTAACCTCCTTTTCTCAGTTGCCTTGCATCCTTCTAGGATGGTTATGAAAGAGGTCATAGTATATTAATAAAGGGAAACTCTAGCTACCTATCCAGTGGAGTTTACTGGATAACCCTTTCCTCACTCTTAACACATGGGAAAAGAATTTGCCCAGCCTCATCAGTCTTAGGTTGCAGAGTCAGGCACTTTTTCAGGCTATTACATCTGACAATATGAACCTCAGTCTTATTTCATTTCTGCTTTATGTTAATATTGTGATGATGAAACACAAGTTTTTTCCTCATGTGATCCTAATCCTATTCAGTGCGTACCAGTAATTTAAGGAAACAAAGATGAGATTATGCATGGAACTGTAAGTATACTTTGTATCTTTCTAGTAGTTGATTGTGAACCTTTAGGTTCATAAAACGGTTGTCAGTGTAGTATGGTTGACTATGTAAATACTTTATTGTTTTTCGTTGTGATTGCAGAAGTATATTGCAGTTTTTATCCTGCATACTTTATCTGTTGATTATACTAGCTTTTAACTAGTCCTTTTTTAAAATGAATTCACTGTAATTTTTCCAGGATGGACAAGGTCTTAATAAGCTATGTGGCTTTGTTTTTTCAACAAATACTTGAAAATGCCCCCAAACCTCCTTGTCTCCTCTTCTATAACTCATGCTGAATTCAGTTTTAATGTAAAAGCAACATGTTTTAGATTATGAAGGGAAATTGCACAAAACTGGCTTGGCTGGGAAGACCAGACTTGAAATCACTTGCATTTTTCCATGTTTACATTAGGTGTCAGCACATCTCTCTTTTACCGGATGGTTTTCTTGCTCAGGAGGTTCAGCTGCTGCAATCAGGTCTTCGATTTGAACATAGCCGTCAGGCAATTCAGGAAGTTCAGACTAACAGCAACACAAAACTTGTTCCTTGTAGTGCAGGTGAGTTAACTTGAGCTGGCTTCATAACTGTGTGCAAAAGCCTAAATAGAAGTTAGGTGAGTTTGGTGGTTTCCTAAAATGGGACGTCATTCATTGCCAGTGCTAGGGGAAAAGTGTGACTTAAAGCAAGAAATTAATTTCAGGCCAGAACTTAATTGTTAATAATTAATAGTATTCAGCTCAGCCTTTAGTTCCCTGTAGGGGGTTTTCAAACTGAATAAACACTTGGTTGATGCCATTAGAATTTATAATCTAAACAAAGACAAAACAATCAGTGAAAGCAAAAGTTCTGAGGGCAGTAAGAACACAAAAACATCAGAAGACTTCTTGTTTTGGTTAGTTTTGCATTCTTCTTGGTAATGAACAGAAGACTTGCCATGCTGAGTTATGCTTGTAGTTGCTCCAGAAATCTGTGAACGTAGAAAGAATACAGAGTAGTACAGTGTAAAGGTTTAATTGACAGAGGTTTTGGACATTGCATTTTTTGTCATGGTGATGAATGAATATGCAAGTCACATTCTGATTTAGGAACGTGATCTTATTTGGGAAAAGAGAAAACCAGTGGAACTGCCAGTGTATGTATATGGTTAAGCAGTTTCTTTAAACTTGGACATGCCTACCATCTGCCGGTGTATACTTTTCTGGCTTAACTGGAAGTTACTCTATTATGATAGAGCGATGACAAAATAGACTGGAAACCAAGAGTTCCTTAATAGAATTCAGATTCATTAAATTGGAGTTATTTACAGGTGCCAGGAAGGAAGAGATTTTGATTCTGTGAGGTAGGAAACAAAATTGATCATTGAAAAATGGTGCAAGTTCACTTAGCAAAAGAGATTTGAAGCAAACTGTGACTAAATTCCTATGTGTGTCTTTCTGTACCGTTACTCAGGTAATTCTGTTAAATAAAGATGAATGATGCTTTATCACACTTTTTTGCATCTATGAATTATGCCAGGTTGATTTTTTTTTTCCTTGAAGGGGTGAAAATCAGAATAAGCTAAATTCAGGGCTGTTACACTGAGTATTGAAATATGCTTGATAGGAACATTTTAGCTGGTATTTTTAAAAAGAAAAATGTGTTCTGTTTAATATTTTGAAGTTTGTGATAACTATGAAGAAAGAACAGAAAACATTTTAAATTTTAAGTAAATTTTTATTTGCTTATCAGAACCTGAGCTTCTCTGACCAGGTGGCTTTAGATCCTCCACACGTGGAGGGTTAAATGTTTAATACCAGTTGTATGTATTTAGTGTTACTTGACACTACACATGATTTTAATTTAGTTGAGTGATACACCGTTGTACCTAAATTACAGTGCAAGTACAATTCACACTTAACAGAGTATGGTGATTGCAGCATACAGCTGAATCGTAATACAAGTGTGATTAACATAACCAATCTCCATATTATGCTTTATGGTGTGTAGTTTTTGAGCATCTTGAACGGCAAGGTGGTATCATGAAGGAGAGAAGCTGTGAAGATGGTCTTTAGAGTTAATGTACGTGCAGCTGTTGCCTGTTAGGAACCCAGAGAAATGGCAGAACTTGGGGAACAAAAGTTGTCTCGAGGCAGTAGAAGTTAAAGGAACTGTCGTTAGGCTATGGAGAGACAGGTTGGGCACGTCAGTCAGTTTTGTTTCTGTTAATATGTTACTGCTGCTTTGCTGGTTACTTATAAATCTGTAAGGTATGGCATGCAGAGTTTCTGCATTAAGAAGTTTACGGTCTAAGATGGTATTAGGGTTACCTGGATGGGTATAAAGGAAAAGGTTGTTTGCACTTGCTGTCTCTTCCAACAAAGTATTTTTATTTGACTGCTAGCTAATACAATTTTTCAAGTAAAGTCTACAGATATTTGATGTGTGTCAGTTTTCAAACATAGAACTATTTAGAGTGTACAATACACAATAAAATAGTAGCACACAATAAATTAATAAGGAAAACGTAAAGTGACTGGTACAGGTAGCTTGGGGGAGTATTTTACAGCCTGATACGAAACTAAGCCATCTGACTTCGAAATTTCTTCATGCTTTGTCTGGGCAGGATGTGCAAAAGAAAGTAGAATCCCCCTAAAAACGGGAGAATTACAAAGCTGGGGGCCAAATATATAGAGGCATGGATTCTTGAAGGACCTCATTAAGGTGAAAGCTCTCTGTGTATGTGTATATATATATGTATTTATCAGTTGAACAGAATTTACCTGTTCTTTTAGGTCCTGGAATCCTGGCCCTAGAGAACCGTGGTCCACTTTCTAGTCTGAATTGTTTTGGGAAGCAGCATGGTGTCACGTGAACATGTTAACAGTTCCTTTCATTCTACTTCTGCTTTTGTGATGAAAATATCTCCCTTGTTCATAATCCTTTCTTCTACAGCTATCAGTTGGAGTGCTGTCCCTGAGCAACCCCTGGATGTCACCGCAGATGGCTTCCGGCAGGGAACAACAAAGAAAGGGATTGGGAGCCATCAGAGCAGGTGGGAGAATGTTGTGATATCTGGATACGAATATCTTATTTGTTGGCATGCATGCCTCTGTCAGCTCATGTGATGTGTCCTCCGTTGTCAGAGGAGAAAGAAATCTAGAGTGGGGAAAAAGGGGAAAGGTAGGGAGCGAGGGAAGAGGAAGAATTGCTGTGTTAGGGGGAGGAGGGAGTTGGGATGACAAAAGTTGAATGCGGGTTAACAAGTCTGCTATTTCTTCTTTGTCAGTGTTGATTAAAGAGAGTATTGTAGATAATGGTGGGGGGGGACTATGATCAATTTTCTTTAAAAGACAGCTTATTTATTAGTGAAGTTAGTGGAATTTTTTTCTTTGTATCTTTTGGGTTGATAATTGTGAAGGAAAGGTGTGCGTTGCAGGTCCTCTTTTTACAGATTTCTTTTTCTGTAAGTGTCAGGCCAGCTGACCTGGATGTCGGATTGTTAAAAGTGTTGCTTTGAAATGTGACTTTCTGCCCTAAAGTTTGAAAATGTTATGAAATGTTTGCAGCAGATTCCTAACACAAAACATGTCACCTTTCCAATTGTCATCTTGACACTGTGCTCTCTCTCTAAGAAACATTGTAATGTTCTATCAACTATTAATGTTTAAAGAAACAGTTACATATTTTTCTTGTGATTGAGAGGAATTACTTGCAAACATCTGCAGACTTCTCCATCGCTCTACACTTTCCTCACTTTAGATGAGGTGACCAAGATTATCATTGGTCTGTGGAAGTTCAGCTTGAGAGTTAGGGTCATGTTTTGGTTGTTAGCTGTTTATACTACCAATTCATCAATGGTCATATTGTTCACGTTTACCAGGCTTTTTGGGAGAAAGAAGATAATCCTGACAGTAGTGAATAAAACGATAAGTAGAGTGTAGACAGTCCTTGTGGAGCATTCATTCACATGCCTGTGAGTTGCACATTTTGAGCTGCTCGAAGTTAGGCCTGGCTTGACTGAAATTTATCCTGGCATATCCCAGTATTTCCAGTTTTCCACAGAAAGAAGGGGACCAGGAACTTTGTGGTTTGTGACCGGTATTGGTGTCTATTAGCACAAGTGACCTGGGTGACTTAGTGTGTCTTTTGAGACAGGCTTTATGTGCACTGTAGAATTTTGGTTATCAGTGTGTGGTGCGCAATGTATTCCAGAAGAGGTGTGAAAGATCAGACCAACCAACCAACCCTTTTTTCTCAGTAGGCTTAAGTTTAAATAGCATTCGTGTGTCAACTCTAAAACTTTAGAGCCATCTGCTAGCTGCCACTTTGCACAAAACTGTAGGAACTTAATTGTTGTTGAGCGATCCTCCTCTCCTTTTTACATGTGCTCGAAATTTACTAAAACATTTAAAAGTTATTAGAGAGGGCCTACAAGACTGTGTGATTGCAAAAGTCTCATCTCCTTAGGAAATCAGGATTAAAAACAGTATCAAGGAGTAAGTAAACTGTTTACGCTTATGTGATAAATGGTCACAAAAGGAATTTTTATCATGAAAATAAGGAACTTCTAGCCTTATTGAGGATGTGTGTTTAATAATAAACCAGACTTGTATTTTTACCCTAGTTTTTTTCCCCTCAAGGATTCTCAGGGTGGTTGGTGGGGGATGTGGTTTGGATCCCACCCCCCCTCTCCAATATGCTAGAGAACACTAAATATCAAGGAAGGTGAAGCTGACTGACTAAAAGGAATTTGTAGGTAGATGTCTGGTATGTGCTTTTGTTAATGCTTAATCAACTAAAACACCAAAAACTACAATATGAACCTTTGACAGATTAACATGATGATGAAAGTTTAGAGCATCTTTGCATGCCAATTTTGGGGTTCCTAAAGAACATGCTAGCAAAATAGGAAGGTTTTTTTGATTGGTGTTTTTTTCCAGTGCTTCTGGAGAATCAGCTTGTACATGTTGGAGAACTGAACCAGTCCTTGAGAAGACAAGTGCATAAAGAGAATTTAATTAAATACAGAAAATAGCTGGGGCTTTCAAAAACAAACCGTGCTTTACAAACAGCTCCTCTGGAGGAAGAGAAGGACTTAAAGCTAACAGAGATGCATACAGTGTCTTCAAAAGACCTTTCAAACTTTGACTCACTTTATTTTTTGATTAGCCTTTTCATATTTAACTGCCCTGCAGCTGTTGCTGAATGGGTCCTCGTCACCATTGTGAAGAGGACAGCATTGTTCTAGATATTTCTGCTGGTTCTTTTATTTGTTCTGATTAACACAAAGTTTGCTGCTTTGAACAAGCCTTTGGAGGCCTGCTGTGGAGGCCTTCTGTGTTGTTTGATCCGTTCTGGGACTAGTCCTTCTGGCTCAGCGTCGCTGTTGGTGTGAGCTGATGACAGTGCAGTCTTGTATGGATAACAGTGTGGGGATATTACAATGTTCTCTCAGCAAACTGACAGAGTGCTGGCTGGGACAGTGGGGGCAATGCAGCTCTTTGTCAATGTAACATTTAAAATGAAGGGAAAAGGCAGGTGGGCAGCTTGGGTGGGGTAGGAAAAGAGAAATTGTGAACAACTTTTTGCATTCTTTGAGAAGTGAATGTAATTTTTTTTATCAAAAATGTTCAGCTGGGATGTACTACTGTGAGCTGTAAAAGGAAGTGCGTTTCTGATTTTTTTTTTATCAGAATTACTAATTTCTTTTTTTTTTTTAAAATCAGATCTAAGATCTGTAAAGTGGAACTCTTCCATACATTCCAAAAGCTGGTGACAAGTATTTCACAAGAGGATCTACCGGACACTCTCCGGTAAGACATTTTCATTACATTTAGAAGAGTGAATTTATCTTAACGAAACTCAAGAATACTGTGATGATACCAGAATCTGCTCATAAATCTCACTTTCAATAAGTTCATCGTTAAAATTTGGTACTTAAAAAGTATGGCATGTGCTCAATGGGTTAGGGAGACTCTTTTTGGTCTGTTTAATCACCTCCTTGGAGAAATAGCTATCACATCTCATGTATTAATGACAGACAGAAGAAATTGCAGGGGGTTGGTTTGTTTCTTTGGAGGTTAGGTGAGAATCTGGGGCAGCTGATCTCTTCCAAAGGCTTACTACTTTTCAAAAGGGTAAACGCTGTTCCTGATCAGTGGAGCCTTGTCCTGCTCTTGCACTATATCTGGTGTCTGTTGGACACCTCTGTATGCCTCCTCAACTTGCTGTCTTGGCAGAAAACTCTACATTTTGGGGTTTTTTTCTGAGTGAAAGTGGTCTTGTCTGCAAGTGGCAGTGGACAGCTGGGGAAGGAGTGAAGAGGGAGAGGAAGTAGGATCTTTTTTGAAAACGTGAGCTGTTAGATCAGCTGCCTGCAGCACTATACCCTTGGTAGCGTTCAAACCCCCCATCCCAAAACTGTCGTGGGGTTATTGATATCCGATTGCTGTTTAGTAGTTCTATCAAATGCCACTTCTTTGTTTCACAAGAAGAAAAAGTGTGAGTAAAAAAAAAAAATTTATTTATTTATTTTTTTTTTAGAAAAGTCTAGGCTAAAATCTTTTTACATTATTGTTAAGACTGGAGTTTCTTGCAGTAATCATCTGGTCTGGCATTGCATTATGTATTTGGTGGTGTTCCAGCCCACAGAGCTACCACAGAGCAGGGCATAGTTTCATATATATAGAAACTTACCTCTCACTTTGGCTTAGGGATTCTGAGAGATGTAGAAGGTTCCAAATCCATTGCCTTGGAAGGTTTATTTTATTTTAGGCTTATTTCCAAGTATGATTTCACCAGCTCTGCGCTGCACTTATACCAGTTGTTGAGTTAATTTAACTGCTTGTAGCTGTCGATGGGGATGGTCCTCCAGCAGTCTCTGCTGCTGCTGCCTGTAGATTCCTGTTTTCTCCCTTGTATCAGTAGCACTTCATCAGCCTCGTGGTGAGCCAGTTCAACTAGCTAATGTGGCACAAAACAGCTGCCTTGTCTTCTGTGTTTCCTATTGGACTAATGAGCTGAATTGGCTTGTGGAAAGCCAGAACAGACAATAAAACCTGTGAAAAGGAAGTAGGAGGTATGTGTGGCTGGCAACAGGGGAGGTAGGCCATTGCTGCCTTTCATGGTACCAAGACATTAGATGAGATGAACTTAGCCAAAGCAAGTGCACCCTGGATCTTTAATTATTAGATATTGCTTGCTTTGTAGTTTTGTGAATATAAGATTGCAGTTACCTTCTGTGTCTGTAGAAGTGCCTCGTAACTATTTTAAAGTTCTAATGTCGACATGAGCCATGCTGTTGCTGAAATGGTTTCAACTGATTGTATAAGCAGAGACACACTTTCTCCTTAATTCCGTTTTAAATATAAAATTACTAGCCTTTTTTGGGTGGGAGTTTGTCCTCACTTGTTTAGCTGTCATATTTTCCTCAGAGTAGAGTGTGAGCTGGTGCATTATTGGGTTGATGATTCATTGTGCTGATTGTGTGCTGCTTACGTAAAGTCACTTCACCTCAGGGCTTTTCTAGGCTCCGGTGGCTTTGTAATTTCCTTTGACTTTTTTGTTCTCTACCATTTTTCTGGCTGGGCTTCTGATAAAGTCCATCTGATTCGCAGATGTGGCATCACTTCTAGGCTGCACAAACTCTATTGATACAGTAGAGGTGCTAGCTCACCAGTCAGCGTGTCCAGTTACTTTCCTTTTGAAGTCTTTGTTTTTCCTACTTGTCACTTAAAAAGCAAAATAAAAAATGTCTTTGTATTGCTGTTTCCTCCTTCTACCCTTTCCCTTTGTACGCAATATTCTGATGTGTTTTCTTCGTTTTTCTTCCTTTCCTTCTTGTAGTCTGAATTTGAGTGGACTTCAGACAAGAAATCCCACACTCACCAATTGTTTCGTCTAAACTCCTGTGTATTTAACTGTAAACCCAGTTTTGTGTTTTCTTCCCATTCAATTATATCTTGTTATTTCCTTCCACAAATGGTTGGCTCGAGTGCTGTGCTGTCACCCAATTTCCTTATCCCACTTTGCCCCTAAGTTCCTGCTCTGCCTTTTCTAGTCCACTTTTTGGTCTCTTGACTCCCATCCTTTCTGCTCCATCAAGGGAATCTCATTTTGTAGTCCTTTCAAATTTGCTGAACAGCTTGCCTTGGTAGTTGTAGGGTATCCTGGGACAAGGATCATTCTTTACCTGCAGGGTATATTGGGACAGGGATCATTCTTTACGTAACCCTTCCTTCATCTGCTGTTGTCCACTGCCGGACATAGGGTACTGGGGCAGTGCAAGCTTTGCATGGAACTAGCATACTGATTCTGCTGTTCTTTTGTTTTCTTCTTTCCTTTGTCTAAAGCTGCTTCTCCTGCTTTTTGTGCCTTCCTTTCTCTTTCATATCTTCACTTCTCTCCAGAGGACCACTGTGGGCAGTGTTAAATTGAAACAGGTAGAGAGCCTACTGGGGGCAGAACTTTGCTGGTTCTCCTAAAAGACACGTTTAGGAATTTGTAGTGGTGTAGCTTAGTTAAGATGCTAAACATAACATCCAGCAATTGCTTTTTTCAGAACTTAGTTTATTTGGTTTCAACTGAGACTGTAAGAAAGAGGTGGTGTTTGACTGGCATTAGCTGCTTCTTCACCAAGAACCAGATAGTGCTGTATTGTACTGTCCCATTTTCTTTCTTCCTTTCTGATAATTTCTATGATCTCTCTTCTGTGCCTTACTTAAATTCTCACTCATCTCTCTAGCTAGACTATCTAAAATGTTATTTGTTTCTTTATAACCTCTTACCTCCACCTGCCATACTTCATTCTCTTCTGTTGACTCCCTCTCACATGTTGTTTCGTGCTAATGTTTTGAAATACTGCTACATAAACCCATCTTTTCTTTTTTTTTTCCTCCTCGTTTCTTTTCATGTTTTCCCTGCTCACCATCAAAGGAAAGACGATACACTGTCACGCAGCGTTGTGTCATTGCTAACCTGAATTATTATATAAGAACCTCTGCAGTATTATTGTTGTTTGCAGATCACTTGGTGGTAATATGGCAAATGAGTTTTTTTGCATTGTTGGGTTTTTTCCTCCCCGCTGGTGGAAAAATGCATGCTTGTTCATCACCTGAGGAAGTGAAAGCTGCCTTTAGTCATACAGTGGCATCCACCACACAAAGTCACCAGACACTGCTGTTTGTGCAAGGTGTGGTTGGCTCTGCAACACTTTGTCTGAATCTAAGGGAGGCTTTGTAACATAAACCCGCCCTGAGTTTCTTCCTGGGCTTGTTAAATGGATGACTGATCCTATTTTCTCTTAAATTGTGGTTGGGAGTCAGTTAAGATTGTGCTTTCTTCCTCCTTCCCATCCAGTTTGCAGTATGGATGATTCCAGCTCCAGTGATACCTAGTTGGAGGGCATGGGCTATTGTACAGAGGAGTGCAGGGACTTTCAGGTGGCTTTAAGATTTAAATATCTAGGCTGAAGTATGGTACCTTTGCTTGGGCTTCATATTTAAGGTTTTTTTGCCAGTGCTCATCTAGGAAAAGCAAAAGGATGCCACCAGGTGACTGCTAAATGTTTCCTTCTGGTGTGACAGAGGATGATTGTGAGGAATTGTCAGCCTAATGAAAGTAACTGTCACAGAAGGAGTGCAGTTTCACGCTTACCACTTTCTCCAGTTAAAAAAAAACCCAACCGCATTTGGTGAGAATTTTGTTGCAATTTTCTAGTCCCTTTTCTGTTTTCTTTTGGAAGTTTGTACGTTGAACATTCCCTGTGATGGTTGTACCACTGCATAGAGGTCTGCGGGACAGTTGGGTCCTCAGATATAAGTAAGAAAAGTCTTTTCTATACTCCACGTCACAGGTACTTGTTAGGTCTTTGCAGATTGAAGAGCCTTTTATTAAGTAGTATTTTCTGCCCCATGCAAATACTTATCCATCATAATTATCTCAAGATTTGATTATTTTAAATTACTTTATTGAGCTAATACATCTTTCCCTCTGTGTGATTCATTTTTTCCACATCTGAGATGACATTGGAAAAATCCACAAAGCTCGTTTTCCAATTTTTCAATCATGTTTTGAAAGTCTGGTCTCCTAAGCTAGACACAGAAATGCGGTAACGGTATTCCAAATGCTGCAAAACCTTACGTTACTGGTAAAACTTGTTGTGTTTGAGTGGAACTCGCTCATTTAGTTAGCTCACTCTGTGACTTTGTTCTGTATCTTCTGAACAATTGATGTCAATTATGGGCTTTGCCTGCAATGCCTGCATTTTAGCTGAAGCATTGAAGAAGACACTAATAGAATCAGGCCAAGTATGGTTTCCTGGCCCCCTGTCATTATGGATTCACAACAGATTTTTATATATTGAAGATCTGTGAACTTTTGCCCTCTTAGATGCAATTCATGAATTTTTATATAAGAGTAGTGTTTTGGTTGATGCCTTGTAGTTACGTGAGCATTTTTCAGGTGCGGTATGTCTGTAATCTGAAAAGTGCATTATGGGTTGAATGTAAATGTTTGAATATGGGATTAAGGTAGGGTTTGTAGCTGAGAAGAAAGTATTGCAGCAATGTGTTTCTTTTCTTTGCAGGCTGCCTTGCTTGTGAGGCCATTTATGCTCAGCTTTGCATGAGGCTGAGCACGTGAATGTTTTCAAGCATAACGGGTGACTTGTGTAAGGCTTTTTCCAAGAGTGTGGTACCTTACAGAATGAAATCTGTGGATCACCTCTCGTGTCTCTGGCACATGGCCATCGGAATCGCTCTGTCTGTCTAACAGAGCAGTATAGAGGCAAGATGGAAATAATACAGGGAAACAAAAGGAATGTAGTCAGGCAGACCTGGATAGGCTGGAGATCGTATGATTGTACTGGACTTTGCCTGGGGCAGCAAACTAGTGTTCACTTCTGCCAAAAAAATGTTGCAGGTTCTTCATTACAAATGCTCAGAGCCTTAGTGGCCCAAGCAAAGCGGAGATACAGTGAGGTTTTTAGGCAGATGTAATGTACTTTTAATTTGAAAACATTTTTCCTGTGTGCATGTTGAAAATTTCTTAGAAGCTTAATACAGAAGTTTAACATGAATTAAATGAATCTGTTTAAACAGCTACTGCAAAGAGCTGCCAAAATCAAAATGCAGCTTTCTGTTGCATCCACTGTTAAATCCTGTAGTGATGTTATTTGCTTGGAGAATGAGACCCCAAGAGGCTGCGGTCACATGTACTCTTGTAGCTGCTACAGTGTGGTGAAAATACCGAGCTGCTCTTTACCATCTGTCCTGCTTTTGTGCTAGCTGTGTTTTCGCTTGCTGTCCGCTGTAACAGTTTCCAAAGGTCTGTTGGAATAATCTAGGTTGGAAAAATCCCATATGTGTTTTAGTTAAATTGAATCAGGCTGCCGGATATGAGTTGAAGGGGCACTGGTTTGCCAGCAGACTCAGGAAAAAGAGCAACATTTAGCAAGGAAGAAACGAAGAACAGTTAGGCACTGGAGTCATTCTCTTGGCTTAGTGGCAGGTGGAATGAATCTATCTATCTGGATCTGTATCTCTAGATGTGCACCCACAGCAAATGCAAGGAAAACAGCTGTTTCACCTTTAACAAGATTGAGCAAGTCCAAAAATCTGTGCTGTAGATTTCTTTTTTGATCTTTGACCATCCTAAAGGTGACCTTATGAGTACGAGTACCTGTGTTTTGAATATGTAAACAGCATCTGATATTAGCTGTTCTATGATAAAGGACAAATACAAGTCATTAGATGCATTTATAGTGAAGAACGGCAGGATCAAAGTCTTAAGCAAATGTGTCAGACGTACTTTAAGTGCAAGAAGCATGCTAGAATAAGAGCGTTTCTTCCCAAAGAATGACTCGGTCATTGTCCTTGAGTGTGAGCATGCATATTGATCCCCAGAGAATGATTTTGAGGTGGAGAAGAAGGTGCAGGTGGTTTGTACCATGTCTGAGCTACACGTTGGAGTACCTGGGAGAGGAGCAGCTTGCCTGTGCTAGGGATTTGGAGCTGCTTGTGGTGGGTTCACCTGGGCCCTTCTTGGACCTGTGTCGTTTCCCGAGTGCTGCTTATGCAGATAGTTGCTGGTCTTTTCCCTGTTCAGTGATGCCCCTAAACCATGATCCACCACGATAATGGTGTTCTGTGACCGGTCCACTGGCCCGGTGGAGGAGAGTTGCAGTGGGCCCTTCCATGGAACTTCCCAGAACAGCTCGGAGGTTAGTTTCACAGAGTTTGGTTAAAGTGAAAGAGGTAAAGAAAGGGAAACGGATTAGCTGTGACAAGAGTGCAGGCGGGTTGGTATGAGAGTATACATCTTCCACATGCAGCAGTGGCATAGACAGGTTCTCCACTCTTGCACTTTCTGAACCCAAGGTCTGCAGGGTAGGTAATATCTCGTGGCTTGCTATGCATGTCACAGTATTGTAGAAATACATTTATAGCAGAATGCCGAATGCCTGAAATACAGCTTCTGATGGTCTGCTCTTACGTTGTTTTGGGTTTGTTGGGGTTTTTTGGGGGGAGGGTTGGTGGTGGAAGTTCTGGAAGTTAGTGCGGTGGTTCTCAGACTTTTTAGATGAGGGTTCCTGTAGCAGTCTGGATCTTCCTGTCTCTTGATGAAATTCACGTTGCCTACGATCTTCCTTTCGTATTGGGTTGAACGTGTAAACATTATGTGCTACATGTGGCTGACAGACTGTTTGGCAAAGGGAGATGAAAGAGGCTGGGAAAGGAATGCAAGGAAAGGAAAAATGTCTGGATTAAATTGTCTTAGAGGCACTTGTGTTCAGATACTCTAGACTTGAATTTCCCTGCTTTGAAAATCAGTGGTGTAATGCACTCAGCAGAGTGACCAGTGGTTCTGCTGAGATTGTGGGGAGCAGGTGCTACATGAGGAAGGGGAACAGAGCACCAAAACTGCTGAATCTCATTTGCTTTAGGGAGAAGATGAAAAAATATTTTCTTCTTTGTCTCACTCTTCCCCGTTATTTTGTGTTGGAGAAGCAAAACTGGCCTGTTCGTCCTTGTCTGCTTCCCCTCCAACCAACAATCGTATCCATGCTCCTAGCAAAACAAAGCTACTGCCACCCAGTTCAAAGCCCCTCTCTCTAGCCACCTTTTCTGCTTTGCTTCAGAGTTTTTTGCTGTCATGGAAGTTTCTGTAACCTATTGTCGCACAGTCAAACGCTGACACTTCTGTTGCTGAAGAGTGTGTGTGAAGCATGGTGGCAGAGTTGTTTTCCTTCCTTTTGTGAGACTGCTGACAACATCCAGATACCCTCGCTTCAGGGCCTGGGCCTCTCCAAGTCTCCCCAGGAGCACAAGAGAATTTCACTCAGTAGCATGAAAGAGCTCATAGGGCATCATCATGTTTTAGATGCTTGACTGCTTTTTTCATTTTGTGACATTACATCCAAAAGGTTAATTGAAGTGTTTTCGTTGTTGTGCATTTTCTGTCAGGATGAAGACTCTAGAAACCTACTGGGACTACAAGGAAGCCTCGTTAAATTACCAAGAAGCCTGGAAAGTGCTGCGTAGCCAAGCGCTGTTGGGTTGGGTCAAGAATGCCAAGGAGTACCTGCACTTCACATGAGAATACATGCAGCTATGTACCTTCAGCAGTAAGCCCTGGTGCACAGAAGATAGCTCTGCAGTTGAAGAGCCAGGAAAAGATGTCCTCTAGTTCGTGTGCTGTGTGGAGACAGGAGTGAAAAAGAAAGCAATTTAGAGAAGTCTTTATTCTGGTTGAGTTGAAGCCCTCTTTTTATTGAAATATAGAAAACGATCATTGCAGACTTGAAGTTGTGAGCTGCATGAAACAATACGCCTCCAGAAGAAAGGCAGCAGGGCTCTGCTGTCCACTGTTGTGTGACAATCTGGTCTGTCAGCCATAGTCCGTTGCAGTGAAGTAACGTCAACGGAAATTGAAGCCGTGCTGTGGAAGAAAGGCTGTAATTGTAAAACTCTAGCGCAGCTTTTTTTCTTCCACTCTTCATAATGTTATGGTTGGTTTTGTGTTGCTGGGACAACCCTAATGTATAGTAAGTAATATTTTTATAACTCTTGGCTTTCTGTGTCTGGTGCCTGAAAGAATTTTCCATGTCCCCCATCCTCGTTGCTTCTAACTGGAAATACTGTTTCTGTTAAAGGGTCTGTTTTCTGGAAGTCCCTCATACAAGGTTCTATTTACTGAATATAGCCAAAGCAGAAGTAAAAGAGTGCTGGGGGGAAGGCTGTGTCAAATACTGCTACTTACGATATCCTGTGCATCTCTCTTAATTTCAGGACTTTGCCAGACACTCCTTCAACTGCTTTGCTTTTGTGGGCAGGAAGGAAACCTCCTGAGTTACCTGGTTCAGACCTGTCAATCCTGTGTAATTCCAGGCAAACATTTACCTAATTTTCAGTGTTTGAAGCACTGTCCATCCCCCCAGTCCCCCCGTGATACATGGTTAATTAAAAGCATGGATGCCTTAGCCGTTTATGTCACTGTTTCCTGGCAAGTGTTCATTAATAGCCCGGCAAAGGTGGAGATGCTTCGGGGGAAACTGGAAGGAGTCTCTGGCGGTCTTTGCCTTTATGCTTTATTACCAAATCACATCTGCATGGCAAAACAGTCAAGATTGCGAGCTGGGGGGAAGCAGCGGGTAATCCTCCTTGAACTTTCTGTCACGATTATTGCCTACTGTGAGCAAGTTCAGGACTATGTAGCTGCTACTGAGCACACTCCTGTTCTGTACTTTTTCTGTTGTAAACTACAGTTCATAAAATATCTGGGCAAGGCAATGACTGGATAAAGTAAGTGGATAATTTAGAACTTAAGAATTCTTCAGTGGTTTGAGTTTCCTGTTCTTTGGTATCTTACTGTAGTTCTGGATTTGAGGAATGGGCACGGCACCTCTCCAAACACCCTGTACAGTAGACCCACTGAGCTACCTGTGGGGCTGAGCAGTACAGGCCACATTACCGGCTGAGAGCTGATTAGAGCAAATCGTTTTTTTTTTTTTGTTCAGAATGATTAGGCCTTTACAGCCAAATTAATTTTATTGGAGTTAGACCTAGGGAAGGTGTCAGCTTATACAGTTATGTTCTGACTTCAGGCTTGCTAATAACAGAGAACTCAACGCCACGTTTGTTGAGGTGATCAATCAGTTTTGTTTTGGAGAAGGCAGCTCCTGGAGAATACACACCACCCTCTTTAGGCAGACAAGCTTCATCTTCCGGAAGAGATGCAGCTGCTTGAACCATTGCAATTGGTGTAGCAACATAGCCAGGCTCTGGTCCTTTCACTTCGTTGCGGATCTTTACACTTGGTTTGCCATTCTGGGGATGTTGTCCCTCACTGTAACCCTCACCAAAAAAAGTCATTGTAAAAGTAGTTCCATCCATCTGTTTCTGGATTGATCCTTTCTTTGTGAAGCGTCCAGCAGAGAAAAATTCCAGGTATTTCATCAGAAATTTTCTACCGAAGCTAAACTTCACAGGAAGAAAAAATAAAATGCCAGCAAACATCAGCTCGATAACAGAGCCAAGACCACTTGTATTCACATGAGCACCACACTGCACAGGGGTTTCCTGCAAGTTTATGTGGAAATAACGCTGAGACCGTTTCACAACAGAAACATCAGATCTCATGAATGGAATAGGGTACTCCTTGAATTCCTGATTGTAAAACACAAGTCCTCTTCTTTTAAGTTTTGCACCAACTGCTGGAACAGGGGCATATCCTGTCTTTTTTCGAAGCTTCCTCAGGTTGTCTTGATCTGCAAGGTCAGAAAGAGCTGACTTCCAGGTCCCATCATGTGTACAAGAACCCTCAGGCCCAGTTTTCACCTTCAGAAAACAGTTAAGGTACCTTTTGACTTCTCTCTGGTGTACAGTACTCCCATATTGGCTGGTATAGAGTCAAAGCCACAGCTTCCAATGACATATGCTCCCTTTTTGGCAGCTTTTTCATTGTATTTCAGGTGCATTCCTTCCAGAAACTGGGGTTCTCTGCTGATGTCAGTGCAGCTTGCACTATTTTCAATACAAGCTTCTACCACAGGCTCTCCAAAGAGTAGCTGAGGTTGTTTAGTCTGGAGAAGAGGAGGATGAGGGGGGACCTTATCGCTCTCTACAACTACCTGAAAGGAAGGTGTAGTGAGGTGGGCGTTGGTCTCTTCTCCCAAGTAACTAGTGATAGGACGAGAGGCAATGGCCTCACATTGCGTCAGCGGAGGTTTAGATTGGATATTAGGAAAAATTTCTGTACTGAAAGAGTTGTAAAGCACTGGAACAGGGTGCCCAGGGCAGTGGTGAAGTCCCCATCTCTGGAGGGGTTCAAAAAACGTGTAGACGTGGCACTTCGGGACCTGGTTTAGTAGGCATGGTGGTGTTGGGGTGACGGTTGGACTGGATGATCTTGGAGGTCTTTTCCAACCTAAAGGGATTCTTTTACTTCACACTTGGGTTGACTTGTCAAGTAAGAATAGCTCTCTTATTGAAGAAATTACAGAGAACTTGGAATTCTGTGTGTATAAGCCTGTCCTCTCAAATCCAGCACTAACATGCAGAAAGACCAGTTGTATTGGTGAGGGGGGGTCATTGTATGCGTTTGTAGAGGACGGGCAATTATGGATAATGGTGGCTTGCATTAGTCATCAGAGGATGAAAAGTGGCCAGATGCCATTGCAGATGGGCTGCAGGGTGAACTGCTGGAGAGAAATGGTAGCTGTTACTGTAACTGAGCAAACGGCGTCCCAAGGGCAGCGTCCTGCAGTGTACCTACAGAGGCAACCAGTACATTCCAGGATCCTGAAATCTGCAATCGGGCAGAAGCTGTGCCTTGACGTACCTCCTCTCCCTTTGTTAATCAACAAGGCCTGTAGCGAACCTGCTGACCAGACTGGAATGTTCCCATTTCCTATCCAGCTGCGATATCAAAATGGGTTACATAAGGCTAGTTGTTCTGTATTGGCATCAGACAAGGTTTCAGATGAGCAGTTGCAAGATGTGAATTCTTTTAACTCTTTCCTAAAATTTGAGTGTGGCTGTTAGGAGAGATTGTTCCTGGTAAGGTTTTCCTGTGCATTTGACAAACAGTTGTGAACTGTAGACTGCTGCTTTCTGCTACTTGTCAGGTTTAAAAGCAGTTTCAGAGGTGCTGAACACTGGTACTAACCTCACTTTTTGGATGGAGCTGAGGACATATTTGAGCCTCGAGTGCGTCAATGAATAAGTGAAGAGGGGGAAGGAGCTAACACAAACCAGCATTTAAAAAGCTGAGGGGCTAAGCCTGCAGGATCTTTTACTTGACTCATGGCATTTCTGGGATTGAAAATAAGCGTTTAAATTCTGCATCTGTTTAGTTCCAAAATGTCAGGAAATGCTGTAGGCAGTACCAAGAAACCGCTCTAAAAATCAGAAGGGAAAAATGCAGGGAGCAGAGATAACACAACCTCTGCTTTTGGAAGAGGTAGCAAACTAAATTTTCATCGTCATCAGCAGCTCGTTGGAAGAAGTGCTCCTAGCAGGTAGCAGTTGGCATGTTCCAAGCTTCTGTCGCTCCTTGGCGCTGGAGTAGGTGACACAGTGCCAACCGGTGACAGGCAGGGCAAGGGAGGACAGCAGGCTGCAGAGACTCTGCCACAGGGGAGCAGAGTTGAGGGGGGAGTGAAGTGCCCACCATTCATGGTTAATGAGGACAACCCAACAATTGGTGGTGGGAACAGCAGAGGCTGCGAGGGCACCGAGAGTCCCCAGGCGTGTGGAAAATGCTCTACAGGGTGTATTTGTGTTACCCAGCTAGGTCCTCGACTTTCCCAAACTGATGCGGGGGCTGATGGTTCCTATTTGCCAGGACAAAGAAACCGTAATCCTTATTTTGAGTGGAATGTTTTTAACAGCTTCACTATTGGAGAAATCCTTCTGTTTTCAGTCACAGTAAGGAGCAGGGCAGGCTGCCTGCTTATCTTTAAGGGAGTCGGAACCAGAGCGTAGAAATGAGTGGTTTTGTCTAGGTGAAGCTGGAGGCTGCAGTTCTATGAGACAACGTGCTAGCATCCCACGACCTGTGAAAAAGCAAGGCTTTGCTCTTTGCCGCGTGCTTCCACCGCGCACCTTACACAGGCTGGAGCGCTTACCGATCTCGGTGCGTTCAGAGCAAATTGAAGACTATTCAAATTACTGTCTTTGTAGAAAAACAAGCCATGAGCGCAAAAACAAGGTGTAGCTTTTCACTGGGAGCTTAATCAGCTTTGCAGTGAGCCCAGGAAGCACTAGAGAGGAAGAGCTAGGGCTGTGCTGCTGCGGGCAGGAGGAGCTGGAGGCAGCTTCCCCTCCCTCCTTACAGACTGTGAGCTGGTTATGAAGCCACGCCTGGAGAAGGTGCTCGAGGCGTGAGCATGCAAACGAAGTGCGATTCCTTAGGAAGCTGCTGCTGGTAAGGAGGAAGGAAAGGTGGTGGAGTAAGACTGGAAGCCAGACACAGTTGAGGGGCCTAGCAGTTCTCTCTCTCAAAGCACAGCCATCCTGACAATCTGATGATGTCATCACAGGAGCGTTGCCGCCGTGGTTTGCCACTGGAAGTAAGATCTCTGAGGAAAGGCCATCTAAATTCACCTAGTGCTGGTTTAGTTGTATCAGAGATGACATTTCAAGTTTGCTTAAAGATAAGCGATGTAGAAGTGTTGCTGTGGGAACGTGGGAACGGTGAGGTGTTTGTTCAGCGTAGGACTGGCATGCCTTCCCGCTCCCCAGGGGTGACCAGCCAGTGGCCATCCTGCGGGACCCAGGCGCTTTTTACAGTGGTACAGGAGTGACTGTGCTGTTTGAAGTGATGCCTTTCACCCGTGCATCTCAAAAGGAAACCTCTTTGTGCTTCAGTGCCATTTCAGGTGCATCTGCAGACAAAAGTGAAGTTACTGCTGCAGAACATTTATCCTTGCATTCTCTGGAATGACTTCTGCACCTGGGCTCCCAAATCTAAACTGGTAATTACAGAGACATTAAGGAGGGTAGTTAAGTGGTTTTTTGAGAAGCTTATGAAGGGTATTCCAAAAGTCACCTCGATCATAACACTGGGAATAAAGCTTCATCTTCCCTTGTTTTATTTCGATATATCTATGCCCTCACATGTAATCAGCTTTATCTAGCAGTTTTAAGTTACATTTCTTAATCATCTTGTTAACAGCAAAAAATATTGCTTGATAACCTTAGACAAACTGTGAAGTTTCACCTTAAAGGAAACACAACATTTTCCACTAATAAAGGGTAATAAAAAAATCACAGATGAAACCACTTTTTTTTCATTCTGAATCAAAATTTCTGTTAAGAGTAAACATTAACACTAAATGCATGGAGAATGGGGTGGTGGAAGGAATTCCCAGTGGAAGCAGTGCCGGCACGTTTACGGCAGCAGCGCTGTCTGAGTAACGGTGGGCTCACTGAGAGCGGCGCAGCTGCAGGACCCACACGTGCTGCTGGGGCGAGCGTCGGCCCCTCACGGACGTCTGCCTGCTTGTTTGGGGGCCCTTCTGCCAGGACCTGCGAAGCAGGGTAAAGCCAAGCGTCGTTCTAGGCACAAGGTGACTTTGTGGGAGTTTGAGTTAGTAGGAATTTGATTTAAGCTTGGAAAGTGATAAATCTCCACCGTGACTTGGAAACGTTTTAAAAACTAAACTCTTCCGCACCATGTAGTGTGAAAATGAAGTAAAACTTTTATTAGGAGTCTAAACTGTAATTAATGTTTCCTTGTTGGCTTACAAAGCTGAAAGCGATGTTACTTTTCCAACACAGTGTCACCATTCAATACCAAAGCGTGAACTCCAGTACTGTGCAGTTAGCTCAGTTAGGAGGTTTTCATAGAACCACAGACTGGTGTGGGTTGGAAGGGATCTTCAGAGGCCACCCAGTCCAGCCCCCTGCTATGGGCAGGGACAGCTTCAACCAGACCGGGTTGTTCAGAGCCCCGTCCAACCTGGCCTGGAATGTTCCCAGGGATGGGGCATCGACCACCTGCCTGGGCAACCTGGGCCAGGGTTTCACCACCCTTATTGTAAAAAATTGCTTCCATATATGCAGTCTAAATCTCCTCTCTTTTAGTTTAAAGCCATCACCCCTTGTCCTGTCGCAACAGGCCCTGCTATAAAGTCTGGCCCCATCTTTCTCATAAGCTGCTGAAAGGCTGCTCTAAGGCCTCCCCGCAGCCTTCCCTTCCCCGGGTTGACCAGCCCCAGCTCTCCCAGCCTTTTCTCCCAGCAGAGGGGTTCCAGCCCTCGGATCACTGCTGTGCCCTCCTCTGGAAAGGACATACACATTTGTATGACTACCTGTAGCACTATTGCCTTTTTTTGTTTGTTTTTTTAAGAGCTGCTCATGCGATCGTTCTAATCTGAGCTCCTTACCAACTATTTCTCTCTCTGCAATAACTCCTGCACAAAGTCACGCCTTCCAGTTCTCCACTCTCTGCTCTCCTGTTCGGACTGTTCCTTCTCCTAGGCACCCCTTCATGCCATGCTCTGCTTTGGTCACCAAGCTCCTGCTTGCCAAAGCCCGTGGCATTCGCTGCTCTGCTCACAGCCTGGGGGCTCTCCCCGGGAGATCCTGTAGCTCCACAGCCACGGGTTCTGGAAGCTCCACATCGCTCCTTGTTCCTTCCTTCTATCATCATCCACACACTAAAGGCTGAGAGGCTGCAGTGTCCAGTAAATAAGACAAGCAGCTGTACAGTGTCTCGTAAATGTGATTTGTAACTTTCTGGCCAAAATGAAGGTAAAGAAATGACAGCACTACCTGTTTGTGACAGGAATTTTTATTGTACTTGTTTGTTAATTGAGAAAGAGGAACATGTTATCTCAGTTCAACATGATCAGTGTCTTGCTCCTGCTTAGGATAAGCTAGCAAATCCAGTGTTCCCAATAACTAATTTAATGTTTTTATTTTTCTTAAACTAACAGCTCAAAACAGAATAAATGCGTGTTCTTTTCATGTTTTAGTAGCCCAACTACTTTGCTTTATTATTTAATCAATGTCATCAAATGTATCCCACAGAGGAGTGAGGCTCTGGGAATTCATAGCCATGAGGAAAAAAAAAATGCACAAAAACAACAAAACATTTTTTTGATAATTTAAGTCTAATAAAACAAAACCTATCAATATATTAAGAAATAAATCCAGTTACAAATGCATGTATATAGAAGGAACTATTGCGATGTCAGAACAGAAAATGATCAGCTATTTACAAGATACACAGCAGGACGGTGTAGTAGCCCAGACCCACCATTCAGAAACCAAATGTATTCTCTCCACTGTAGGCAACGTACAAGAACCCATCCTCATCCTTTTCCTTCTCATAAAGCTGTCCCATAGTTAAGCTTGAAGGGGAAAAAAGAAAAAAAAGAGAAAGGGTTTGCTTAGATGATGACAGTTGCAGATGGTAACAGTTAGAACCTCACATAAACACAGATTAATAAAAGCTAAAACTGGTAAGGCTGCGTGTGAATTAAAACACAAAAATGAGGACGTATGAAAAGCAGCTGACTCCCGAGGTCGCAAAATGCTCCTGGGCTCTCTGCAGAGTGTCTGGGGTTTGGTTACTGCCTCACAAACACGTTTGTCAGAATGCTTCCATGTTTTACTGGAAATCAGCCACTGACTGCATTTCAGGTTCTGAACCATCCACTGCTGCTGCCCTGACACAAGCAGGATCAGTCGCCCAACAGCCCCGTCCCTGAGCGCAGCTGCAATCGTGTCGAGCTGCTTGCGCGAGCGACCCCATGCCTCCCTCCGCCTGGTGCAGCTGGGAATGTTCAGCCGGTCTCAAGTCTATCTGACTTGTGCGTTTTGGACTGTTTTCCTGAGCTCCAGGTTGTTTTGGGGAGTAAAAGCTGTGTTTTCTATATTGTTAAAAAGTGATGACTTAAAGTAGTGCTAGTACCAAAATGCGTGGGCAGTAAATTCCAAGTTTGCCAGAAACTAATGCTTTCTCATTTTTGAGACATTTTTGAGTGGTTTTGAGATGGCTTTGATCAAACGAAAATTTTCTTAATGTGAAGAGGCACGTGGCCCTTCACAGTCCAAGCAGTCACGGACTTCAGGGCGACACAAAGAAGCCCGAGCCCTTGCGTGCAGCCAGCTGTCTGCAGAGGGAACTGGCAGCTGTCACTCACACAACCGACCTCGCCCTTCCCCGGCTCCCCAGGGCGGAGGAGAGCCTACAGAGAGCTGGAAGGCGCGCACTGGATGCCAGCGAGAGGGGACACGAGTGTGGCTTTTTACCCAAGGGAGGAGCTGCAAAGCATTGCAGGCAGCACCTGGAAAGGGACTGGTGAGCAGCAGATAAAACTTCTGGGTGAGGAGAGGAGGATGTCAAGTTAGGGGGCTGTGTCAAACTCTGCCTACGAGAGGCGCAGAGCCAGTAACAGGCTGGATTTTTGTTTCTCTGCTAACAAGTTACCACCTCTGCATTAACGCTGAAGGTTCAAGGCCCTGTTTCTCCAGCAGCGACGTGACATCTCACCACGAACACATGAGACAGTGCAGCCCTGTCTGTTCCTTCCCTGCTCCTCGCCGTTCTACAGCACTGCCCGGCAGGTGACACAGGCACTCCCAATACTCTTGGAAGACAGCAAGCAGAAGGTGGTGCTCACAGGGCCCTGCTGTGTACCACAAAGGAACCAGAACTATTCCTGAGTCTGGACAGGTTACCTGGAGGGACTGTGGCTGTTACACGGGTAAGGATTAATACAAGTAACTCTATACCTAAGCCACGGAATATCATGACGTACTGTTTCCTCAAATAGTATTAGAGTATCTCATATAGAAGGCAGCTGTAGTAGCTGTTTCTGCTATACGTTACTCTGTACATAGCAGAGAACAATGAAACACACTCCTATAAAAAAACAATGTGAAGAACCTTTATACATTCATTTTGCATTTTGTGTTTATAGAATAAGTGATTTTTAAAACAAGTAACAGCAACTAGTCTGCAACATCAAAATTTCTTTGTGAGCTGACAGGTTAATGTTTTTTCAGAATAATTTATGGCGTTTGCTTTTGAGTATTTAACATGCAACTTTTTTGTTACATTGAGAATTATTTTTTTTTGGCACTGATTATGTAAATGTTCTTGCACTCGACCAAAGATATGATAATAGCGCCAGAGCTCACCTTCTTGCCATGGAAGTAAATCATAATATGTTTTTCAGTCACCTTTCAGCCTAGCTCAAGAAATAAGATGTCCGTCAGACTCATGGAAAAAAAATCTATCACGGTGAGATTAAGATATAACCAGACACCTCCTGAAATCACCAGCTAAGCCTCAAAGAGGGGAGGTACCATCCCTCTGCTACGCCCAGGCTTGCTGGAACGGTTCCGAGTCCCAAGTGAATAGCCTCTCACCTGGACTGCGGGACGGTCTTGTCTACAAAGAGGAATATTGCTTTCTCAGACGGCAGCTGAATCCTCTTCCTGATGATCCACATGAACTGCGCCACGGTGATGTCCGACGGAACTAAGTACTTCCGCTTGTCAATATCAACAATCTGAGACCCTGAGACCTTCTCCACGATGACCTGTGAGGGGTGGGGGTGAAGGGCAGGCTGTCAGGGTGAGGATGAACAGATGGCTTTGCAAAGTCGCGTGCTGGTACACACTTAGAACCGTGAGCAGAGGGAAGGAACAAAAAGGTTTCTTGACCACAACCAAATGAGAGGTAGGACTGGCTCAGCACTGTAAAACCCGGTTTCACAACTGCACTGACACAGAATATTTATTTTTTTTTTCACAGAATGGTAGGGGTTGGAAGGGACCTCTGTGGTCATCTAGTCCAACCCTCCTGCCGAAGCAGGGTCACCTACAGCCGGCTGCACAGTGCCTTGTCCAGGCGGGTCTTGAATATCTCCAGAGAAGGGGACTCCACAACCACCCTGGGCAACCC